ATAGACTAGACTATAGACTAGACTATAGACTAGACTATAGACTAGACTATAGATTAGACTATAGACTAGACTATAGACTAGACTATAGACTAGACTATAGACTAGACTATAGACTAGACTATAGACTAGACGATAGACTAGACTATAGACTAGACTATAGACTAGACTATAGACTAGACGATAGACTAGACTATAGACTAGACTATAGACTAGACTATAGACTAGACTATACTAGACTATAGACTAGACTATAGACTAGACTATAGACTAGACTATAGACTAGACTATAGACTAGACGATAGACTAGACTATAGACTAGACTATAGACTAGACTATAGACTAGACTATAGACTAGACTATAGACTAGACTATAGACTAGACTATAGACTAGACTATAGACTAGACTATAGACTAGACTATAGACTAGACTATAGACTAGACTATAGACTAGACTATAGACTAGACTATAGACTAGACTATAGACTAGACTATAGACTAGACTATAGACTAGACTATAGACTAGACTATAGACTCTATAGACTAGACTATAGACTAGACTATAGACTAGACTATAGACTAGACTATAGACTAGACTATAGACTAGACTATATACTAGACTATAGATTAGACTATAGACTAGACTATAGACTAGACTATAGACTAGACTATAGACTAGACTATAGACTAGACTATAGACTAGACTAGACTAGACTAGACTAGACTAGACTAGACTAGACTAGACTAGACTAGACTAGACTAGACTAGACTAGACTAGACTAGACTAGACTAGACTAGACTAGACTAGACTAGACTAGACTAGACTGGACTAGAATAGACTAGAATAGACTAGAATAGACTAGACTAGACTATAGACTAGACTATAGACTAGACTATAGACTAGACCATAGACTAGACTATAGACTAGACTATAGACTAGACTATAGACTAGACTATAGACTAGACTATAGACTAGACTATAGACTAGACTATAGACTAGACTATAGACTAGACTATAGACTAGACTATAGACTAGACTATAGACTAGACTCTACTATAGACTAGACTATAGACTAGACTATAGACTAGACTAGACTAGACTAGACTATAGACTAGACTATAAACTAGACTATAGACTAGACTAGACTATAGACTAGACTGTAGACTAGACTATAGACTAGACTATAGACTAGACTATAGACTAGACTATAGACTAGACTATAGACTAGACTAGACTAAAAAGAATATAGACTGCACTATGGACTGGATTATAAACTATAGACTAGATATAAATTTGGATAGATTATACTCGACTATAGATAAGACTATAGACTACACAATAGACTAGACTATATAATAGGGATTAGATCTTTAACTAGGCTATAGACTAGACGAGCCGTTTAGAAATTGTAGAAGAAAAATATCGTTTCTACCGATATGCTCTATCAAATTGCTTTAAATTCTGGCATTTTGACACTTTTGTATATTTAGATTAAATGTTATATCAAAGTTATTTTATGCATTTATAATAAACGATCAGAAATATGATCCGTCTTTTATTCTGTTTATTCAACCATTATATTTCAAGAGATTAAAGTTTTATTCACAATTTTATCCACTTTATGACATTAAAACCATTATGTAAATTAAAATCGTGTATTAATATCTTTAAATATCAGGTTAGTTGTCATAATTAAAATTATTATTAATAAACATGTTGTGATTATAATGAAGGTTTTTGGTGGCTGATCAGTTATTAAATTTTATACTTTAAAATACTACTGCTGCCAACCACTAATACATTCAGGTGGACTCTCTCAACATGCCATCAGGTCCATTTTCAACATACAAAATAAAAGTGCAACAAACAGCGAATGCGACAACAACAATACAAATATATACATAATAATATTGGTACCATTGAGGTAAGGACCATGTAAAATATTCTTAAGCACTTGACAGTGAAATATTATACACATGTAAACACTCATTCATTACATATTTGTAACTTGTCTTGATTATGATTGTTTTTCATTATTTTTATATATTTTTTTGTGAATTTTTTCTTTTTTATTTCCTTTCTACTCTTTATTTCTTATTGTCAGCCAAGTCCATCCTTGGTGTATCAACAAAAAAAATGTTTAGTAAGTCAACAAAATGTTGCAACTGTTGCAAGTATTAATTAGCTGACATTTCAGTTACACCCGTATTGGGTTAATACGTGTACATTAGAGTGTCCCGAGGAACAGCCTTTTTAAGAATTTCATGTAGGCTATAGACTAGACTATAGACTAAACTATAGACTAGACTATAGACTAGACTATAGACTAAACTATAGACTAGACTATAGACTAGACTATAGACTAGACTATAGACTAGACTATAGACTAGACTATAGACTAGACTATAGACTAGACTATAGACTAGACTATAGACTAGACTATAGACTAGACTATAGACTAGACTATAGACTAGACTATAGACTAGACTATAGACTAGACTATAGACTAGACTATAGTCTAGACTATACACTAGACTATACACTAGACTATAGACTAGACTATAGACTAGACTATAGACTAGACTATAGACTAGACTATAGACTAGACTATAGACTAGACTATAGACTAGACTATAGACTAGACTATAGACTAGACTATAGACTAGACTATAGACTAGACTATTGACTAGACTATAGACTAGACTATAGACTAGACTATAGACTAGACTATTGACTAGACTATAGACTAGACTATTGACTAGACTATAGACTAGACTATAGACTAGACTATAGACTAGACTATAGACTAGACTATAGACTAGACTATAGACTAGACTATAGACTAGACTATAGACTAGACTATAGACTAGACTATAGACTAGACTATAGACTAGACTATAGACTAGACTATAGACTAGACTATAGACTAGACTATAGACTAGACTATAGACTAGACTATAGACTAGACTATAGACTAGACTATAGTCTAGTCTATAGTCTAGTCTATAGTCTAGTCTATATCTAGTCTATAGTCTAGTCTATAGTCTAGTCTATAGTCTAGTCTATAGATCTAGTCTATAGACTAGACTATAGACTAGACGATAGACTAGACTATAACTAGACTATAGAATTAGACTATAGACTAGACTATAGACTAGACTATAGACTAGACTATAGACTAGGCTATAGACTAGCTATAGACTAGACATAGACTAGACTATAGACTAGACCATAGACTAGACTATAGACTAGACTATAGACTAGACTATGGACTAGACTAATGGACTAGACTATAGACTAACTATAGACTAGACTATAGACTAGACTATAGACTAGACTATAGACTAGACTATAGACTAGACTATAGACTAGACTATAGACTAGACTAGTAGACTAGACTATAGACTAGACTATAGACTAGACTATAGGACTATAGACTAGACTATAGACTAGACTATAGACTAGACTATAGACTAGACTATAGACTAGACTATAGACTAGACTATAGACTAGACTATAGACTAGACTATAGACTAGACTATAGACTAGACTATAGACTAGACTATAGACTAGACTATAGACTAGACTATAGACTAGACTATAGACTAGACTATAGACTAGACTATAGACTAGACTATAGACTAGACTATAGACTAGACTATAGACTAGACTATAGACTAGACTATAGACTAGACTATAGACTAGACTATAGACTAGACTATAGACTAGACTATAGACTAGACTATAGACTAGACTATAGACTAGACTATAGACTAGACTATAGACTAGACTATAGACTAGACTATAGACTAGACTATAGACTAGACTATAGACTAGACTATAGACTAGACTATAGACTAGACTATAGACTAGACTATAGACTAGACTATAGACTAGACTATAGACTAGACTATAGACTAGACTATAGACTAGACTATATAGACTAGGACTATATAGACCTAGACGATAGACTAGACATAGACTAGGACTATAGACTAGACTATAGACTACTATAGACTAGACTAGAGACTAGACTATAGATAGACTATAGACTAGACTATAGACTAGACTATAGGACTAGACTATAAACTAGGCTATAGACCTAGACTAGAGACTAGACTAGACTGACTAGACTAGGCGATGACTAGGCTATATTAGATATAGACAAGTTATATATTAGACTATTTATACTAGACTGCTTATTTTTCCCGAGGTTCTAGGACTAGACTATACACTACAGACTGGACTATAGACTAGACTACATTATAGACTATAGTACAGATATAATATACAATGTAATATATATAAAATAGATATTCTAGATATAGAATATCGACAATAAAGCAGAAAACATAGGCTTGAAGAACTTATTTCTGTAAAAAATAGTATTGTTGTATAAAAATCTTTTAAAAATGATATGTATGTATAACAAACAATTCATTTATATCAATTTCACCTTTAAACTTAACAAAATACTTTTCTCAATGTTGAATAATAACTTTGCATACTTTTAGGCAGCGAGTTATTTTTAATCTTTATGGAAACACCCTGCTATGATAATAAGAATAACTCATATTGACTATAACACTGACAGACAGCGTTGCCAGAATAATGATGATACTGCTCGATTGGTCAACATAAATGTAAATCGTTACACTATCCATCCCATTTTGCCGGCAAATAGCCATTTAATTTTACTGTGTATAGAATAGGACGAAAACTGTTCTAAAATTTCTTGTTATATCTTTACTTGTATAAGATTTATGTAGTATCAGAAAATGAAAGAAGTCCTCAATAAAATTAAATACTACTACTATATGTACTATATATAGAGTAATGTATTGGAAATTGTTGTATAAATGTAGGTACATAAGTATAAAAGTATACTAAGTATTTATTTTAGCTGTTTTCTATCGAAAGTTTATGGCAGCACTACCATACAGATGACATCAACGCACCCAAACAAAAACAGCTGTTCAATGTAAATATTTATCATCAACACCACCAGCCGTCAAAGAAACGAAAACATGAAAATATTCAAAAGAAATCTTAAATTCAAAAACTTTGCATGTTTTCGCAATAAAAGTAATAAAATAATTAAATGTGGAATAAATTGTAGAACAGCCAAAACATGAACGTAAATATTTTAAAAGCCTAGAAAATCAAATGACACTGTGCAGTTGCAATTTGGTTGCCACACGAAAAGGACGCGATTTCTTCAGACGTAAAAAAACAGAAATATTGTAGCTGTCGTGTAAAATATTTTAAAGTGATTAAATAAAAAGTTTTTAAAATTGCTTTATAACTCTTAAACGGAAACTTGCCTTTAAAAAGAGCGAGTGCTAAGAAAACTTTATTTGTTATTGAAAAAGAAAATAAAATCTTGCCAAAGTTGGCAGGCGGTACGGGTCAATAGTGTTTGTTTTAGCAACTAGTGGTTGCGACAAAATTTTTTTTTATTATCCACATGGTGTATGTTTGTATGAATCAGTGTTGGGAATTTATATTTAAATACTAATAAAACACGCTAACTTTTTCTAAAACAGCAACAACAATTAAAACAATTTAGGATTCTAACGATTTTAAAACGGAAAACAAAAACGACAGTAACAAATCAAAGTATAAAGAAAAAAATGTCCGTTTATGCCTGGGTAAGTTTCATCAATTTGGATAAAAAGAAATTTGAATTGCAAATTAAAGTTTTTTAATATACTCTGCACTACGTGAATAATAGAGTAATTAAATTATTGTTTAGATATGTTACTTTTTCAATTAATAATAAAAAAGTATCGTAGGTATAAAGTATGCCTTTAAACGAACTGATAACTTATAAATGGATAATTAAGAGATTTAAAAAGTAATTGTTATTTTTGGAAGGTGGCTCCATTATGAACTTCAACTTTATTACAAGGATTATAATTATTATAATATATTGAACTAAACTAGAATTGAAGAATGAAAATATCAAGTTATTATTCGTAGTCCTCGAAAATTTTCAGTTCTCGTAAAGACAAGTTTTAGTTGATATCTAGTTTGTTTCGAATTGAGATCTAGTTCAGTTCTAGTTCGGTTCTAGTTCAGTTCTAGTTCAGTTCTAGTTCTAGTTCAGTTCTAGTTCAGTTCTAGTTCAGTTCTAGTTCAGTTCTAGTTCAGTTCTAGTTCAGTTCTAGTTCAGTTCTAGTTCAGTTCAGTTCTAGTTCAGTTCTAGTTCAGTTCTAGTTTAGTTCTAGTTCAGTTCTAGTTCAGTTCTAGTTCAGTTCTAGTTCAGTTCTAGTTCAGTTCTAGTTCAGTTCTAGTTCTAGTTCAGTTCTAGTTCAGTTCTAGTTCAGTTCTAGTTCAGTTCTAGTTCAGTTCTAGTTCAGTTCTAGTTCAGTTCTAGTTCAGTTCTAGTTCAGTTCTAGTTCAGTTCTAGTTCAGTTCTAGTTCAGTTCTAGTTCAGTTCTAGTTCAGTTCTAGTTCAGTTCTAGTTCAGTTCTAGTTCAGTTCTAGTCGGTTCTAGTTCAGTTCTAGTTCAGTTCTATTTCAGTTCTAGTTCAGTTCAGTTCAGTTCTAGTTCAGTTCTAGTTCAGTTCTAGTTCAGTTCTAGTTCAGTTCTAGTTCAGTTCTAGTTCAGTTCTAGTTCAGTTCTAGTTCAGTTCTAGTTCAGTTCTAGTTCAGTTCTAGTTCAGTTCTAGTTCAGTTCTAGTTCAGTTCTAGTTCAGTTCTAGTTCAGTTCTAGTTAAGTTCTAGTTCAGTTCTAGTTCAGTTCTAGTTCAGTTCTAGTTCAGTTCTAGTTCAGTTCTAGTTCAGTTCTAGTTCAGTTCTAGTTCAGTTCTAGTTCAGTTCTAGTTCTAGTTCAGTTCTAGTTCAATTCTAGTTCAGTTCTAGTTCAATTTTACTTCAGTTCTAGTTCAGTTCCAGTTCAGTTCCAGTTCAGTTCCAGTTCAGTTCTAGTTCCGTTCTTGTTCAGTTCTGGTAAAGTTTTAATTAAGTTCTAGTTCATTTCTAGTTCAGTTCTAGTTCAGTTCTAGTTCAGTTCTAGTTCATTTCTAAATCAGTCCTAGTTCAGTTCTAGCTCTAGATCTAGTTCAGTTCTAGTTCAGTACTGGTTCATTACTGGTTCAGTTCTAGTTCAGTTCTAATTCAGTTCTAGTTCAGTTCTAGTTCAATTCTAGTTCAGTTCTAGTTCAATTTTACTTCAGTTCTAGTTCAGTTCCAGTTCAGTTCCAGTTCAGTTCCAGTTCAGTTCTAGTTCAGTTCTAGTTCAGTTCTAGTTCAGTTCTAGTTCAGTTCTAGTTCAGTTCTAGTTCTAGTTCAGTTCTAGTTCAGTTCTAGTTCAGTTCTAGTTCAGTTCTAGTTCAGTTCTAGTTCAGTTCTAGTTCAGTTCTAGTTCTGTTCTAGTTCAGTTCTAGTTCTGTTCTAGTTCAGTTCTAGTTCAGTTTTAGTTTAGTTCTAGTTTAGGTCTAGTTCAGTTCTAGTTCAGTTCTAGTTCAGTTCTAGTTCAGTTCTAGTTCAGTTCTAGTTCAGTTCTAGTTCAGTTCTAGTTCAGTTCTAGTTCGGTTCTAATTAAGCTCTAGGTCAGTTCTAGTTCAGTTTAATGCTAAATGTTAAAACGGTTAAATTATGACAAATAATTACAATATAATATCTTTTAAGAAAAATAATCACTTAATATATTAAGAATCTTTCTGTACAAAGATTCAGACTAAAAACAATGTCAAAAAATGAAGAACGTCTGAAAATGACCAGTCGTGCACTTTTAAAATAAAAAATATAAATGTTGTTAAATACAAAATTACTTTTTATTATTTACAGGCGTCTTTTATATTTACTGCCTTCATTAATTAATCTATATGTATGTTTCTGTTTCTGTTTTTTTTTTTTTTTTTCAATTAAGGGCGCCAATTCACATGGTCAACTTGGCCTTGGTTATGAATCGGAAATGTGTACTACACCGCAACAATTAAGGAAATGCTCATTCACACCGTCTAGTGTGCGTTCAATTAGAGGTGGTGGTGGTCATGTTTTGATTTTAGACGCATGTGGACGTGTACATGCATGTGGTTGGAATAATCGAGGTCAATTGGGTTTAGACTCAATAAGAGAATGTGTAAGTGAATTTAAGGCAATACCGGGGAAATTCTTTCAGGTAAGAGGAAATAAAAATCTAGCATAATGATGAACTAATTGTTATTTTTCATTTTTTGCTTTTATTCTGTCAAGGACGATACTGTCGATCTCATAGCCTGTGGTTGGGATATATCAGGCTGCATAACTACATCACGTAAACTTTACGTCTGGGGTTCGAATGCTTTTCAACAGCTGGGCATCTGTCAACGTGGTTTTACTTCAATACGCAAACCGTTTCACATGCAACTGCCACGTAACGATACACCATTGCGCATTAGTTTTGGTATGCGACATACTGCAGTACTAACTGATGATTCCAAAATTTATATTTATGGACGTTTAAGAATCTCTGATATGCTACCCGATGAAATAAGTATCGTTAAAATCAGTCAAAGTTCTATGGTGGTGAAATTAATACCGCGCTTAAGTGGTGAATTGGCAATACAAAATATTGTTAGTGGACAAAATCATCTTATGATGCATTTAGCTGCAGCCGAAGATCAGGCGGAAAATAAGGCGCCTGCTAAACGTGTTCTAGTCTTGGGAGAAAATAAGTTTGGTCAGGCCAATTCGTTTCAATTTGATGAAGAAATTATTGCTATAGCATCGGGTTGGACTCATAATGCTGTGCTATTGAAGGACCAACGTATACTCTTGTGGGGTCGCAATTGTTATGGTCAACTGGGTTTGGGTAGCTATTCCGAAAGCCATCCTACCCCCGTGGAATTGAACTTTTCCAAAGCCATCTTACCAGTACAACTACATTTGGGCTCCGAACATGGTTTGTTTATGTCTAAAGAGGGAGATATTTTCACTTGGGGTTGGAATGAGCATGGTAATTGTGGCAATGATTCAACTAATAATGTGTAAGTGTAAATTATGCCAAATAACGTGTGGTATCATTATTAATTTTGTGTAATTTTTCTTTAACTTGCAGTTGCAAACCAAATCTGGTCGATTTGCCTACCTCCTGTAAAATAGCTGGTTGTGGTGCTGGTTTTTGTATTGCTATTTGTGATAGTACTAATTAAAACTTATGAGAATGTTTTATACAATTCTTTGTTATTTTATTCTGTAAGAAACGAACGCTATTGTTTCGGTGCCATTGAGTGTCTTAGTACTTTTATTATGTTTTCTATTTAATTTTATATTCTTTTATTTTATAAGATCTTTATCGAGGTTTTATTGTAGTTGCAACACTAGCTTTATGTTTTGTAATATGCAAATAACGAATGCACAAATAAAGTTGTTAATTTGTTTTTTAATTTTTTTTCTTTTAATAGTATTTAAGAACTTGAGTAAAGAGTGTTGTATATTCCCAAACATTACACGCTTAATTGGCTATAAATAAAGCCATTTAAAAGCTTAGAACACAAATCTACAAATCTGGATTTTCACTAGCGACTAGTTAGTTACTTCTAATCTTACAATATATGAATAGATACAATATATGAATAGATAGATAGATGATAGATAGATAGATAGATAGATAGATAGATAGTAGTAGATAGATAGATAGATAGATAGATAGATAGATAGATGATAGATAGATAGATCGATAGATTAGATAGATCGATAGATAGATCGATAGATAGATAGATAGATAGATAGATAGATAGATAGATAGATAGATAGATAGATGATAGATAGATAGATAGGATAGATAGCTAGATAGATTAGAAGATAGGATAGATAGTTAGTAGATAGATAGATAGAAAGATAGAAGATAGATAGATAGATGATAGATAGATAGATAGATGATAGTAGATAGATAGTAGATAGAAAGATAGATAGATAGAAGATAGCTAGATAGTAGATAGATAATAGATAGATATATAGATAGAATAGATAGATAGAGAGATAGATAGATAGATAGATGTAGATAGATCGAAG